GCAGCCCCCCAAATGGTTCAAGTCCCTCCCCAGCTCCTGTCTCACGGGCTCGCACCTGCCCCACAGCAAAGGCACAGTGTGCMACTCATCTCCCGCTCGGGCTCCTCTCTGCTTTGTTCCTCCTCTGTCACTACACCCCAGGAAGAGACAGATGTCCCATCCTTCTGCAGCRATGCTCCTGCAGTGAGAGCACCCCTTTGCAGCTGCAGAACACCAGCATGTGTCCTGAGGGACACAAAAACAATCCTGTGTGTGTACCCCATGTCCTGTGCATGTCCCCACGTATCCACTGCCCTCTGTGCATCCTGCATGTCCTRCGAGTCCTCGTGTGTCCTGTGTGTCCCTCTATGTGTCCTTGTGCATCTACGTCCTGCGTGTCCCTATGTGTCCTGCATCCTCCATGTGTCCATATCCTCTGTCCCCCATGTCCTGTGCATCCTGTTCCCTGTCCCATGTCCCATGTGGACCCCACGTCCTGTGTGCTCCAATGCCCAGCTGACATGCAGGTGCATTAACAACTATCGCTTTATTCTCCTCAGCAGCACAAGCTCTGTGGGCAGAGGAATCTGGTCCCTCTGCCCATCCACACCCCCATCCATTTTCTTGTCCTCGTCTGTGTTCGCATCCTTGTTCCCGTCCTGTTGCCTCACGGCCTCTTCACGGTGCTCTCAATGAATGACTCCAGCACAAAGATGGTCTCATCCACGTGATTCTCACTGGCATCGATCCTGCRGGACAGACAGCAATGGGCAGCCCCCACRGRGTCCCCAACCACCATCCCCATCCCTCTTTCCATCCCCTCTCACTTGTTGACRTTGCGTTTTAGGGTCTCGAGCTGCTGCCGCTCAGGACCTGTGATCATCTCCTCGACCTCATGCAGCTGTGCCGCCTCAGCACCTGTGGCCTGCATGGAGGCCAGGATGGCCTCCACGCGCTGTGACTTCTCTAGGAGCCTCCTAGGATGGAACACGGACACATGGACAGGGCGGTAGACACTACGCACCCACCACACCAGGCCACCCCAAGCCACAGCRCTCACTTGTTCTCYCGCATSTCATGCTGCCGTCGCTCCATCAGGTTGGCCACACTCTGGAGGGGAAACAGGTGAGTCCCCAGCACGATGTGATGGGAACCACTGAGGAACCCTATGGGGGGATGTGGSCACAGTCACTGCCACCCCTGTGGCACCACAACAGAGGGGGCTGTGATACCTGGACCCTGAGTAGGAAGGAGCTCTTAAGTGACAGAACCACGTGAGCCCCCAGCCCAGAAGTATTGGGTTAGGGTTAGGGACCACACGYTCCCAAACATCCAACAGGGGGACACACAGAGGACAGTACTGATGCCATCCCTGTGGCACCAGGAACAAGGGGGCTGTGACACCTGGAATGGCACTTCTAGGACTGGGGGCTGCACACGTTCCCTGAAGCAGGAGGTAGYWGCAGGGCCCCGATTCCCTGGGAATTGCTGCATGGATAGACTGGGATGGGTGATAATTGAGGCCCAGCAGGTCCTTGGGATTCACCTTGTAGCACCTGTGAAGCAGCATCCGAGCAGCGGCCATCACATTCACTGTGTACAGGTAGAAAGTGCGGGAAGGAGCATGGTCTGGAGTCCTGGGAATCTCCTGTGGAAGGACAGAGGGGTGGATGCGATGGGAACCGAGTGGGGGGTGTCACCCACCCCAGATGTGTCCCTGTGTCCCCTCCCTTGTAGGATGCCCCCTCCTCCAAGGGTTCCCTATGCTCAC